GTTGCACCAAAAATAAAAAAAAAATAACCCCCTTATCAAGTAAATGACCTATTTTTTTTAGAATAAAAAAGAATGGTTTAGAAAACATTTATAAATTAAAATAAAGATTACATTGATTACAGAATTAAGCACTCACATTATCCTCCCTAATTCCGGCTTGCCTAAAATTAAGAATATCGCATAAATGTTGAGTAATTAACACCGGACAAAAATGGGTACAATAAAGACATCAAGCAGTTGATACTGTACTCAGTTGTAACATATTGTATAATATTTATATGGAATTCCGTGAAACTGTAATACAAAACCAAAATTCGCTTCGCGTTAAATTCCGCAAGTATAGAACTTATTTAAGCTCCATTACAGAACGTTTAGGGAGCGATGTAATTTCAGATTAAAATAATACATGAAGATATTCTTATTTCCTCAGAAATTATAATAGATTCTTGTGACCTAAGTATATATCTTTGTTTTTTTATAAGAGCATCCTATAAATCAAAAACAGACTATTCTTTGATAAAAAACATCATAAGTTTTATTGTGAAATAAAGCACGAAATGTACTATCCGTACATAAAAACCTTCATTCCACAATCATTTCATAAAATTCTAAGTTTATAAGTTTATAACAAAAAATGCTGGGATTTATTTTAGTCTACAGTATAATTTACTTTTTAAATTTAGCTTGAAAAATTTTTTTATTATTAGTTCAAAATGGGTTTGCAAATTTTTTCATGTTAATTAAAAAATTGATGGTAGTATTTGTGAAAAAAAAATTAAATACTATAATGTATGTTGAATATTAGTTATGAGTTTATCAATAATTTTTCGTTAGGCGAATAATGCAGTTATACTGAAAAATATAATAATAAACACCAAAAAAAGATTAAATTGATTAGTTTTACATATGCAAAATTGACTTCATACGCATTGAGTCAACATTGTCACGCGAACATAAGGTAGAATGGTATTTTCTAGAATATTCGCTAGATAATGAAAGGAAGTTATCGTTTAAGCTATCAGTACCACCGACCGTTGTGTACAAAGATGATAGATAATTTACAAGCTAAGGTAGAAAAGGTTCTCGGGCATATTGTATGTACTGTATATTATAAAAAGCGTAAAGTCATTGAGCAACCTCAGGAAAATCGAATTAGAATTAAGGGTCAGATAGGGCTTATGTACTAAAATACGATTTTCCATAAATTACTGCGCAATATCTTATCTTACCTAATCATGACCAGTTTAACTCTTCGAGAGCATTCCTTTACCACTGATTTTTTATTCATTAGTTCAGTGTTATTGCAAACAAAAAATTTCCCCGATGAATTCTTCACACGTGACACCAACAGTACTGCGGAAATCGGCAAATATTACCGCAGAAATAAAGTCGCCAATGAGGCTCTCTTTACGTGTATCAGAACACGTAATGGATTTATAGGCTTCATTTGACCTAGCTGTGCCCTTCCACCACCCCTAACCTGCAAATATGATTTCAAAACTAGAAAGTCCAGAAGAATTAGAAAGTCCGTATTTCAAAATACAAAGCACCCTCGAACCACATGATCTCGTTGAGACGTCTAAAAGAATTCTACAAGCAGTGAATATCGAACCTACGTTAACCTATTCTTACTGTTTAGAAGTACTATTTGAGGACGACAAAGCCTTCTTTACCATATGTCTTAACCCTGTTTTGTGGTTCGATGTGTACTTGAGAAAAAAAGATCTAGAGGCTTCCGCTAGAATTGCGAGAACATATGTCACCAATACCCGGTTAGCAGTATCACCCTTTGAAGTAGAATACAGTGAAACTGTTAAAAATCCGGCATTTACATTATGCGGTAAGTTTCTCTTTGTAGACTCAATTTATTTGAAATATCAGTACCCCTACGGCGTTTCCCGCA